ATGGAATAAACGTTACATGCATAGTGTTGAAAACCAGGTCTGGCGTTCAGTCTCTCTTTGAGAAGGGCTCTCCTTGGAAACCTGATAGAATCCTCTTTACTGAATCAAGGACCGCTTTGTTCCAGTCACAGCATCTATCAGGAGAATATCTCCAACATTCCCCCTTTTGCACATTGGAAGCCCAGCCAAAACCTCGCTTCTCATGAATTGCCGTAAAGCAAAGACCTCACAAATGGTGAACTCTTGAGAAACTCTGAACTGTCTGGGTAGCCAGACAAGGAACTATTTCCAGTAAGAAATGAAAGCTAATATTTAAGGGTATTGCACTGGCAGTAAAGTTCAGATCAAAACACATCTGAAGAACTCTCACCAAATGCAAAGAGATATGGCATAAGGAACATTCACACAGAAAACAGAGTATTGCAAGGACCACAGCAAGGAAAAGATCCAGACCATGGACTGCCCTCCTCCAGCAGCTCCCAGTGAGGCAGTCAAACAGGCAGAAACCCGGCCATCCCTTCGACGGGGCATTTTCAGGCAGGAATCTTGCAGCCCTGCTGGGAACACCTCAATTGGACAATGGTGCGGCCCCTACAATGGGCTGGAAGGTTCTGCGTGTCCCAAAGGAACTGTATGCAGCGCCCAGGTTGACTCACTAGGAGACTTACTGACCTTTGAGACACTGGAAAGGCACAGAAGACCAGCAACCATCACTCAGCCAGGCTCCCATCAGCCACCAAGGAGGAAAGCAAACCCTGCTCTTCTTCACAGCGAGAGCCTGGCTGGATGCAGGTCAGCGCTCTGAAGGTCCCTCGAAGGGAACCACATAGGCTTCAGGGTCACACCAAGCCCGGCTCTGCCCCCTGGTTTCCAGCCACATGCTCGTTCCGCTGCGGTGACTGGGAGTGGCTGTGCTGTGCTGGGCGGGAGCGAGAGCCACCTGTGCGCCGTCGCATTAACTCAGCCCGAGCTGCACTGCTGGCTCAGAAGCGAGCCTCAGAAGCACATCTTTTCCGCTGCCTGGTGCCCCGTGCCTGTCCTCCGTCCCTCTTCCAGGCCGAGGCCAAAGTACTGCGTGCCTTCCTGCCTGCCTATTTGGCAAGGAGTTAAAATATGAGCTGACAGAAGATGGAAGTCCCTGAGGGACCCTCCAATGCTGGTGCTCTGGCAATGAGCATACTCAATACTAGGGGGAAACTTTGAGACAGGGCCTCAGATTGTGAGACACGGAATGAGGGGCTCAGGTTACAAGCAGCCCCATCCTGGTTAGGTATCAGGAAAAAGTCCCGGACTCTTCGAGAAGTATGGCAAGGAACCAGATCCCTCGGCAGTTTCTGTGGCTGTCCAGATGCCTCTTGCAGGCCTCCAGGGGCAGGAGGACAGCGCAGGGGGGGCAGCTGGAGTGAGGAGGAGGGCAGGAGCAAGGCAGGCACAGGCAGAGAAGGCCTTCCTGCGCCAGCCCTGCAAGGGAAGCTGCTCCACCCAGGAGAATTCGCTTTCATCTGCTGCAGGTCAAGGCTTTTATTCAGCCTTGGCTCAGCACTGAACCTCGTGCTTGGAGAGCAAAGAAGAGCCGCTCGGATGCTGGCCCCGTTCCCCCTCACCCCACCCCCACTCCTGCACAGCAGAAAAGAGAGGGGGGCCCTGTGTCTTCCCCACTGTGGGGTCTTTTCAGAGGGGGAAGACCCCCACCAGCACAGCAGCTCTGTCATCCTCCATGCATGGATGCGCGTCCTCTCTGGTGTGCCTTCTGTGATGTGCACCAAGAGATCCTGCGCACAGAAACCTTTTCCACACTCCACAACCTTTTCCACAATCTATATGGCTTTTCCCTGTGGGGACTTTTTCACTGAAATGCAGATATTTGTTCAATCTTTCCATTGCAACTGGGTGCTCCAATGTCCCAGGTTTTGCACAGGACCATCTTCCGGAATAATTTTACCCTTACAGTGGCCTCAGACACACCTTACTATTTGACTTGTATTATCTGTTGCTTTCTTTGTGGCTTTTATTCTGGGTTTTGTTCTGTGATTATGGGTAATACTTCACATTGCAGTGAAGCACTTTTCTCTTACTTCTGTTGATGGGTTGTGTAGTAAAGATCAGTTACTGAACCTGGAGGCCGTGGCTGCCGGCGCTCTGGGACACAGAGGCCTTTTCCTTTCCGTGCCTTCCCAGCTTTCTGCCACACTTTTTACATTCCCTCTGCCCTTGGAGAGCTCTCTCCTCCTCCCTGTTCTTTTGTTTTTGTTGAAATGACAGGTGCAGCCGTATTATTTTCACGGCCCTTCCAATCCCATGCTTGAAAACAAGGCAAAAGCCAAGTCTTCTGCAATCAATCAGTTACCAACCAAAACAGGTGGTTTCCCCAGCTCAATGTGCTGCTCCTTCGGTTTCAGTTTCTTGAATGGAGTCCCTTTCATGCTTCGCACGGGGGATTTCACAGCCTGCCTGTTACCGGGGTGCTTCCCCTGCACTGGGGCTCAGAAGAACGCTTCTCTCTCTGTTTACCCAGGCAGAAAAAGCAAATGTACATTATTTGTATCATCACCCAGTCCGGCTGACGCCTGCCCGGAATCTGGCTTCCTGCCCCTGGAGCCCCTCATCCCAGGTCCTGCAGTCCCGGATGCTCAGGAAGGGATCCCAGCCCTCTTCTGCCTGACAGCCCATCTTTCCTGAACTGTGGTGCCCGGAACTGCACATACTACTCACGAGGAGGCCTAACCAATGCCAAGTGGAGGGGACCAGTTCCCCACATGGTTTGGAAGTGATCCTTCCCTGAGTGCAGCCCAGTGTAGCATTTGCCCTTTTTGCAGCTGCATCTCATGCTTGGCTCACATTCAGCTTGTGATTCACAGGAATTCGAAGATGCCTCTGCACGTCCCAGTCCCCTGCTCTCAAAGCAAAGGATGGAGTGATCACTCGCATCCAGAGCTCCCCAAATCTGTATCCCATCTATCAGCTCCTCCCTGTTGGTCAAAACCAAGTCAAGGATGTGTCCCCCACCCTCGTCGCCACAGGACCCTCTGCTTGGAAACCCTCCCTCAATAGCATCTGGGAAGCGACGCGACCTGGCTGAGTGAGTCTCCCAACTAATATCCGGGAGACTGAAATCTCCCATAATTACGGTGTCCCTCCCCCGATATCCTTAGAATCTGATCTGCCAGGGCTCTCAAGTTGGCCGGAGGGCGATAACGTACCCACACCGTCAGGCCCCTCTCCCTGTCAAAACCCCTTAGTTCCACCCAGACTGCCTCTGCCAGATCCCCATCTGTGCTGCATTCGATCTCACTGCATCCCGTCCCGTCCCTGACATATGAAGCTGGTTCTTACTCTGTGAAAAGAGGCAGTGGCTCGGCCCCTTCTGAAGAGGACAATCCCGGATCCATGTGAGGCTGGTGGCCAATGCCCCATTTCTGGGCAAGGTGCTTGGGCGCATGGTGGCTGGGCAACTCCAGGCCGTCTTGGAAGAAACCGAGTAGCTGGACCCATTCCAGGCCGGTTTTAGGCCCGATTATGGAACGGAAACTGCCTTGGTTGCCCCATGGGATGACTTCCGTTGGGAGCAGAAGAGGGAGCAGGTGTCCCTGCTGGTCCTCCTGGACCTCTCGGCAGCTTTCGGTACGCTTGACCATCGCATCCTGGATAGGCCGGCTGGGTCAGGGATCGAGGGCCCTGCTCTGCAGCGGTTCGTCTCCCTGGTTGGCGGATTCCAAGTGCTGCCACTGGGGGAATGCAACTCCGCACGATGGCAAGTATGTCATCGAGCCCCGCAGGGCCCCATGGTCTCCAGCGTGTGCGTGAAGTGGCTGGGAGAAGTCATGGGGTGTGGGCTGATGATGCTCAGCTCTGCCTCTGTTTCATCCAACTCAGGTGAGACGGTGATGGTCCTGTGCTTGGGGTGATGGGTTGGATGAGGGCCAGCAAACTGAAACTTAATCCAGGCAGGAGAGAGGTGACATTGAAAGGTGGCTCCGATGTCCAGATGGGGACTATTTCCCCCTCTTGGATTGGGTTGCTCCCTCTACAGGACAGGGTCTGGAGCTTGGGGGAGTTTCTGGACTCTGTCTTGGTGGCCAGGAGTGCCATCTATCAACTCCAGTTAATTTGTCAACTTTGACTGTACCTAGTCAGGCAGGACCAAGAAAAAGTAAACTGTAATGTGCTTTACGTAGGGCTGCTCTTGAAAATGGCCGTGCAGTTACAGTTGGTGAAAACAGAGCAACTAGGCTGCTGGTGGGGACGGGTAATCCCAAACACTTAACCCCAGTCCTCTACAAATTGCATTGGTTGCCGCTGAAGTCTGGGCCCGCTTCAAGGTGCTCCTTTTAACATATGAAGCCGTAAATGCTTTAGGATCTGCTTTAGGATCTGAATATCTGAAAGAAAGTCTCCATCCATATAAGCCTCCCCAGACCCTAAGATGGTCATCTGAGGTCCTGCTCTGGGAGATGTCTCTACAGGAAGCTAGCAGGACGGCAACCCGGGACAGGGCCTTCTTGGTTGTGGTGCCCCATCGATGGAATCAACTTTTCAGAGATACTCACCAAGCACTGTCCTTGTACACATTCCAGCACCAGAACAGGGCATTTTTAGTCAAGCTGCATTTTAGCATATTTTAGTTGGGAGTTTGATTTCAATTGGTATTTTAAACTACATTTTAGTATTCTGAATTGTGATGTTTTAAGATTTTTCCAATCTGTTGCTAAACTATTGCTTCGTGTTCCTGCTAGGATGGTGTTGTCACCTTATTTTTATTATTTATTGATACTGTGGATTTAATTGTTTTGTTTATGAAGTATTAAGTTGTTGGCTTTTATCATGTAAACCATCTACAGCAGGGGTCCTCAAACTTTTCAGCAGGGGGCCAGTTCACTGTCCCTCAGACTGTTGGGGGTCCGACTATAGTTTGAAAAAAATATGAAGAAATTTCTATGCACACTGCACATATCTTATTTGTAGTGCAAAAACCAGGAAAAAACAATACAGTATTTAAAATGAAGAACAATTTGAATCCACATAAACTTATTAGTCTTTCAATGGGAAGTATGGGCCTGCTTTTGGCTAATGAGATGGTCAATGTCCGGTTCCATATTTGTCACTGCCAGTCGTAACAAGTGAAGCAAGCGTGCATCAGTTAGTCTGGACCTGGTTGGAGATTTCAGGTGTTTCATTCGGGAGACAGTCTGTTCACAGACATAGGTGCTGCCAAAGAGGGTTGCCATTTTGAGCGCGTGGTTCCTGAGATTAAGATACGTCTCAGAGCAGAGAGAGGCATAGAAACTGGTAAGGCTGCTTGACTTGAATGCGTCTTTCAGAGAGTCACAATTCTGTAGTTCGGCCAGTTCCGTTCGGTAAATCGGATCAACAACTTCAATGTCAACAGAAAAAGGGTTCCGGAAAAGCAGTATGTCCAGTTCATGGAGATGAAGCTCTTTAAATCTCAGTTGAAACTCCTTCTGCAACATTTCCAGTGAATCCACACAGGTCTTCTTTGGGAACGCAACTGCTGGTTTTTCCGCCAGCAACTTCTGAGTTGTGGGGAGACGGCAGAAGTTTTCCTCCTCCACTTGTTTAACAAGGAGGTCTAATTTTACTTGAAATGCTTTCACGTGGGAATGCATATCACTGATGAGCTTCCCCTTTCCTTGGAGCCGCACACTGAAACTGTTGAGCAGCTCTGTCACGTCAGTCAGAAAGGCAAGGTGCCACCTCCACTCTACGTCTCTGAGCTCTGGCACGTCTTTGTTTTTCGAAAGCAGAAAAGCAGAGACCTGTGGAAGCAAGTCATAGAAGCGTTTCAACACTCTCCCTCGACTCAGCCAGCGGACTTCTGTGTGGGGCAGCGTATCTTCTAGCTCAGACAGAAGTTCCCGAAGCTCTGTGTGGTTTAGCGCATGAGCCCGAAGGAAGTTCACACACCACACCACCGTTTTCATGACGGAGTCCCACTGCAGCGAACTGCAGCACAGCGCTTGCGGGCGGATGAGGCAGCGCACGGCAATGGGGCGCGCGTGGTGGTGCCTGTCCATCGCCTGGTTGATGCACGCGACCGCGCCTTCCACAGGCCCCGCCAGGCTAGGAGCACCCTCAGTCGCCACACCGGCTAGCTTCGCCCAGTCCAGCTCCAGCTCATCCACAGTCTGGCAAACCTTTTCGTAGATATCCTCTGCCGTGGTTGTTCCTTTGAAGCTTTTCAGTGCAGCTAGCTCCTCTGTGACTTCGAAATGAGCATTCGTCCCACGAATGAAAATGAGCAGTTGTGCAGAATCACGAGCATCATTGCTTTTCTCGAGTGCCAGTGAAAAATAGCAAAGTTGTTTTGAGGCCTTTTGTAATTGCTGATGCAGATTGGCCCCCATTTCTTCAATCCTTCGTGTAATTGTAGGTCCTGAAAGACTCAGTGTACTAAATAAATCGGCCTTCTCTGGACACATCCCTTTGGCAAGAGAAAGAAGGCATTCTTTCACAAATTTTCCCTCTAAGAATGGCCTGCCAGTGCTCGCAATGAGCTTGGCAACTTGAAAACTTGCTCGCAGCGATGAAATATTTAGCTGCTGCTTCTGCTTCACAGAAGTATTTTGCTGTGTTGTCAATCCATTTTTCAGTTCTAATAGTTTGTCTTTTCTCGCCTGTCCGACCAAACAATCATATTTATCTTTATGTTGAGTTTCGTAGTGTCGACGCAAATTGTACACCTTGAACACAGACACTGAATTCTGGCATATCAGACAAACCGCTCTTTCCTTGGACTGCATGAAAAAGTAATCGTAAGTCCACTGTTCTTGGAATAGCCTGCACTCGGAGTCAATTTTTCTCTTTCTTGACATAATTGTTTCCTAGGGATTCAAAATTGCTATTACTAAAATACCAATAAATACAGTGCTACAAAAACAAGATACCAGCAATGACGCCCCCCCCCCCGGAAGCATGTCCACAGACGCAGAATAAGTGCAGAACTGACACCCCAAAAGCGTGTCCACAGACGCAGAATCAGCGCAGAACTGACACCCCAGAAACGGGTCCACAGCAACACAATGAGCATAACACTGATCCGATTAGGAGCATTTCTGCAGAGAACAAACATAAGCTCAACATGAGCACAGAGCTCATTTACATATGTGGTAGTGTGATCCACAGGGGATCACTTTTTGGAAGGCAATGGACAGGCAGTGATGAGGCGATCTGTCGTCTCCGCACCACCTGTTTTAACCGCCATCTCCAGTAGCAACCATCTCCAGTAGCAACCAAACGACACTAATAAAACTGCACTCACACACTCAGAGCATGCCCATAGAAATACATGACGTGTGGCATCCTGCATCAAAATTTGCATTACAATTTATTTTTCAAAGCAAAAATGAGGAGGAGAGATGCAGGAAAGCAACTTCTGAATCTGCTAAAAAATATTATTTTTATTTTTTTAAATATATAAAACAGCTTAAAAAAAAAGAGAAACTCATTGAATATCCACTAGGTCCTGCAACCCACCACATATTATGTCTCTGCATATAGTCCCTGCATATAGTGGCTTCCCCACCATGGGGGCCACTTTTCTGAAAAAGACCCTCACCAGCACAAAAGCTCTCTCATCTTCCACGCATGGATGCGGCTCCTCTCTGATATCCCTTCTCTGATATGCACCAAGAGATCCATGTGTACAGAAACCCTTTCCATGCTCTGTGCATCTATATGGCTTTTCCCTGTGGGAATTTTTTCACTGAAATGAAGATAGTGCTTTTAGCTGATGCCCTTTCACATTTCAACCATTGTTTGGATTACAAATATATTCGATACGCAAAGAAAGAATGCTGATTTTTACCCCAGGGGGCGCCCATTCCCCTTCTCCGTCTTTCTGGAGTTTCTCGGATTTGGGCTCCTGCTTTGCCCACACTAGGCCAAAGAGAGGATTTGCTTTGCCCCCGATTCTTTACCTGGTTTCGGTCCTGCTTTTTCGATTCCTCTCCTCACTTTGGTTCTCCTGGTCTTGAGGAAAGGATAGATGGAGCCAAGTGCTTCTAGGCATTCAGCCAATCCCCTGATTGAGAATCAAGGCAAAAAGAAAAGGTCGCTGGGAGTTAATGGCCGAGGCAGCTGATCCCCTTCTGTCCCAGTGCCGGGAATGTTACCCCTTTCCCTCTGTGCAGGGGCTGCTGCAACGGGGGCCTAGCCGGGTCCGCGTCACCCGCGATTCCGACGCGCAGTTCTCCCCATCCCGCCGGGCAACGGACAGTCTCCTGGGCATGTCCCTAGCGAGGAATTCAGCTCCTCTCTGCTCCAGCTCCGGCCACGGGGGGCGAAGCGATCGCGCCCTTCCTCGCGGAGAGGCCGCCCCGATCGCCTTCCCGCCCCGGAGCTGCACGGAGCTCCCTAGGGGCAGGTCGTGCAAGCGCAGCCCTGCGGGGGCGCGCACGAGGTGGGAGGGGTTGCTGCGCCCCGTCCTTTCGTGTGGGGGGGCAAAAAGAAATCCTTCCCCTCCTCCCCCCGCACGGCGCCTGCCGGGACCGGGCCCACGGCCCCAGGGTCGCCCGGGGCTGCATCCCTCTCCGCGGAGGCTCTCGAGAGGGGACCGCGCAATGGGGCCGCGCCGCGATGTGCCCCTGGAGAGCAGGGATCGCGTCCCCCGAGCAGCCCCCCCCCCCTCCCATGCCTGGG